CTGACTGGACCAAGAAAGTGAATGGACAGTTCTGGGTACTTACGATACAACAGGCAGCTAGACAGATCATCTGGGACCTCCTTCTGAACCCCATTTTACAGATGGGAGAAACTGAGACTCAAAGAGGTCAGCTGGCTTTTCCAGCCAGATGGCAGGGCTGGGATCTACCCCAGGAATGATTACTGTAGACCCATCTGCCTCCCTCCTCCCCCCACGTCTCCACACACACCCCCCTCACTGTGGGGTGTGTCTCTCTTCTTCATTACACAGCACCAAAAAGTCAGTGGGGGTGGGGAGGATGACAGGCAAGAAGTTGTGGATTGGGAAAATGTTCTCACTGGAGGAACAACAGACGAATTCAGCTCTCCTGCTGGTGGTTGGAACTCATCCTTTCCATATTATAAGGAATTAGTAGCTGCAATTAAAATGTAAGAGAAACACACACACCCCCTTTCTTTTCAAGGTAGACAAACTGACTTCATTCTCACCGCAGTAGAAGGTCGGGAGGAAGGGAGGACCATGGGGAGGAAGTCTCTGTGTAAGAACAAAAAGGCATTATTGATGACTTCTGATGATAGCAAAGTAATGTGTTTCTCTCAGACTCACTGGGGCCTGGATATCGAGTTGTCCTCATTTTCATTTCTGGAGCTGGGGCAGCTGGCCAGAGGTTTGTGCCTGTCAGCTGTAGTGGCCCTTCCTGGCTCAGCAGCCTTGCCCCTCAGTCGCCTGCTCTCTCACTCCCTCATCTCTCCTGGAGGTTGTCCCCCCCTTAGGGGACCTCTGATCTTGGTTGAGGTAGAAGAGCAGTGGAGGGGCCGGGGAACAGACATTAAGAGGAGACATAGATGCTCTCACTTAATCCCATGGCAGCCCTGAAGGGTGAGGAAAAGTCTTCCCACTTGGAAAAACAAGGAAACTGAGGCACAGGGAGCTAGAGTGAACAAGGGCATACAAAGGAGTGACCCTGATCCTCCCAAGTTGCCTCCTCCACACCCCAGCTTCTGGCTGACAGCCCTGTGATGAGTTGCCTTTGCCCCCTGCCTTGGGTATGGCATTCTACATCTTTGCTGAGCAAGTCACTCATTCATTCACTCATTCATTCTTGCACTGACTCCTCGTTCTTTCTCTCTCATTCTTTTCCTCCTCCACTTTCCCATCAGCCCATGCTGGTGGCCAACCTACTGTGTCTGCTATTTCTGCTGGCTTCTCTCCCTTGAGTGTTTAGAACAGCAAAAAATTTAAGAAATAGCATAGGGTATTGGGGAGATAGGAGGAGCCCTGACCAGCCAAGAATGGCCACAATGTCTGGCCTGAGGTACTTTGCCACAGAGAGATGTTCTTCATCTCAAACACTTCTTGACCTCTGTTTTAGCAACAGTATTGGGACCTTCCCGGCTAGTGAAAGATGAGGTTAGGTCTCACTTACTGAGCACCTACCAAGTGCTAGCCACCCCAGAGGCATTTCCTGTAGGAGGGCAATCAGAAGGTAGGTAGGTGTGGTTTTCCCACTTTGTAGAGGAAAACACTGTGGCCCAAAAAGTCTGGAGAGATCCCTACACCACCTCCCCCACTCTGCTCAAGTCCACAGAGAGGCGTTTCACGCCTCCCCCTCTGTACCTCACAGAGGCCCTGCTCTCTATGCTGTTCTGTGTGCAGAACAGGGTGTGGGGCCCGAGTGTCAGGCATGATTTACTTTATTTTCATTTGTCATCTTGGGGCCCCATCGGTCAAGGAGAGGCAAGTCACCTTCTCCCTTCACCCATGCCCTTTCTTCTTACTGTTCTTGAGATCCACTTGAGCAGTCAGTCATTCTTTCCCCACATCAGCCCAGGAATCACAAATGTGGCAAAGCCTGTAGCTGGCTGCCTCTGATGGAAGGCATGAATCTAAAACCAAGTGCACCAACAAGTGAAGCCTCACAAATCCATCCACTTCCCCATGTTTCAGAGGAACTATGACCTCAGGCCAGGGGATGGCCATGACTGCCTCCTGAGGCCATCCAGATGTGGCATCCAGTGGCAGTGAGGTTTCTGTGTCTGAATGCAGGGAGCCCCACAGCCTGAGAGCACATGGGTCCCCTCTCTTCACGGCCTTGCTTTACTTCACACCAGTCTACCTACAGATCCAAGTGTGTCTGGGAGGCCAGAGCTGCTGAAGAGGAATAAAAACAGGGACCACAGTGCCTCCAGGCAGCCTGCTAGGTTTCCCTCAGCTTTGGAAGACCCCTTCTTACTTAACCACTGACCAGATCTTCCACAGCTGGAGGTTAGTGGGGGCATGCTGCCAAACTGGGCAAAATCAGATGCACCTGGTTGCTGAGCGCTGGCCCTTCTTTAGCCCTGAGCTGACAGTAACTCTGTGGTGTCCCAGGGCCTCAGTTTCCCCACAGCTCTGTGTTTCCTTATGTACCTCAATGTGTGTGTTGTCTCCTGCTCTGACCTAGCCCAGTGAGAGGAGGCTTCAGACTGGTGCCAGCTGCGTGTGAATCATAGGCAGTCGGGCTCCAAATTATGTGTAGGTGAATATAGATGAGTGTGTGTGTGGTTATTTTTTATTTTTTTATTATTTGCTCCATTACACTGAAGTCACATTTTCCTATCCTCTGATCCAGGCTCTAAAAGCATTTTGTGGTATAAAATCTCCCATCATCTGATCCACTCTACCGAAATAAACCAGCACCCCTGCCGTCATCTTCCTTGAAAAGTGCCCCTGCGTCATGCTTGGAGGCTGGCAGGCCTTGCCTGCTGAAAACACTTCATAATAATCCCCCCATTGCCCCCAGCCTCTCTACTCCCTGGGGGGCTGCTCCGGTTTCTTGGGCTGTTATTACTGGAATGTCAGCTGCTCCATTTACAACCATCCATACAGACTAGCTCTGTCTGCTTTGAGCCTCACAGGCCTCCTCTTAGCTCATCTCATGGAAATATCACTTTAAAAATAAACGCCAGTTCGATTCGCACTTCCCTCTTGCCTCCGCTGTGTCTCCTGGCCTCCTCCATTGGCACCAGAGGACCCATTAAGGCTCTGCCATTGCCCAGAATCCTCTGGTGATCACGTGTCAGTGGCTGGCTGCCACCCTGTGGTGCAGCCGGAACAGCCTCAGGGGTACTCTGGGGCAGCTTAGCTTGAATTCTTCTGAGTTCAGTGGTCGTTGAAGTGTCTCTCAAATGTAGCATAAAGGAAAGAGAGCTCTGAAGGCTGACAGACGTGGCTCTGCCGTGCATTTGCTGTGTGACCTTAAACAAATTATTGCCTTCTCTGGGCCCCACAAATACGTAAGGGAAGAGCTGTCTCCCTCCTTGGTATACAGGGTAATGGGTGGTCATACTTCTTATGAATGGAATAAAGTAGATACGAAAAGAGAAAAATGCTTTTAAACTTGCCTTGCAAACTTCAAACTTTTAGTGCCCATCTCCGTCCTTTGATTCTTTCAAAGGTACCGGAAAGCAATTCAGGTAGGCTAGCAAGTTTTGAGTCCACCACAGCATTCATTGCTATGTCATGAATGGTCTTCTGATGACTTCAATGCAAAGTTAGTCATTTAGTTGAGTGGGCCTCTCCTGCCTGCACAGCCATAACTGCAGATTCTAAACACATGAACCCCAATTCTACCACAACCTTGGGCATTGGACCAGTGGTTCAGTGTCTCTGTGCCTCAGTGTCCTTGGCTGTAAAATAGATTCAAGAATAGAACTTGGCCCCATGGGTGGACCTGGGAGTTCCATGAGGCTGGGAGAGAAGTGTACCTGCTTTGCTGTGGCGGTTACATTATGTAGTACAGATAAAGCTGGGACATACAGCCACAGCAGTGACATTCACAGCATAACAATTCTCATCTGGGGGTGATTTTGACTTCCAAACACCACTTGACAATGTTTGTAGACATTTGGGTTGTCGCAACAGGGAGGAGAGGATCCCCTGGCATCTCATAGGTGGAGGCCCCAGTGCTGCTAAGCGCCAGCCAGCTGTCCTGCCCCTGTCCCACGTGTGTGTAGTGCCATAAGAACATTGTCCTAATAGAAGCTTTCTGGTTGTGCACAGTACCCCTGTCCTTTCTACTCTTGCCTTGCTTGTAATCTTGCATTTATTGTTCTGTTAGGTGACTACTACCCATCCCACTGATAACAGTGCAAGCCTTCTGCTAGGTGACTACTACCATCCCACTGATAACAGTGGAAGTCTTGAGAGTTTCTCAGCCTAGTGCATCCAGGCCAGAGCTGCCTATTCAGCCTACCCCAGACCTCTGCCACAGGCAGCACTGAGCCTGGCTCCATCAGACCCAGGGTCAAGTCTCAGGATTGCCACTTCCTGGCCGCATGAACTTGGGCCACAGGTGCTACCTTTCTGACCCCCTTGCTCTTCTGCAAATGGGATTGTAAATATCTGGTAAATGTAAACTAGAAGTTAAGACTACAGGTTCCAGAGTCAAGACACAACCAAACTCAATGTATGCAGCCATTACCAGAGGCGAACATAGTTATCTAAATAGGCCTCAATTTCTTCACCTGTGAAATGGATCTCATCACCACCTTCCTCATTCAGAAGGTTAATGTGAGAAGTAAAAAAACTGGTTGCAGGGGAGAAAATAATAATAATAAGCAACTATATACTAGAGACATTTTATGTGGGTGGAATGGGGAATGGGATCAAAAACGATGGGGGGAGGGAAGTGCACTGGACTAGGGTGATGGCACATGGGTGATTTGGTGATGGGAAGTCCATGGGGATTACAACTGAGATGGAAAAAGGCACAAAATGAGGTAAAAATAAACTGTTATGTTATTTAAAAAAAAAAAAAAAAAGCTAGTTGCCAGATGGTCACTTTTATTGTAAATAAATTTTTCATCCAGCAAGTGGGACATATTGAGCCATGAGTGTGTTCACACCCTGCTGGTTACCACAAGGTAGTCATGAAGGGTCTAATTAATAGGGCAAAATGCATCTAACCAGAGGGGTCTCGCCTGTTGCTCCCTCCACCGCTGACCTCTGACTTCTTTCAGATCTGTGCCATTATTGGTGGGACCTTTACTGTGGCTGGCATCCTGGACTCCTGTATCTTCACAGCTTCGGAGGCCTGGAAGAAAATCCAGCTGGGCAAGATGCATTGATGACCCTCCCGGCCCAATGACTGAGGACCAGGGGGACCTGGGAGCCCACCAGCCCTGCCTCCAGTGCCCTGTCTGCTCCTGCCCTCTATCTGGCCCAGGATCTGGCTGTGTCCCAAAATGGGAGTGGGGATAGCAAAGGGGTGGCTCAAGAATCACAGCTACCTCTTCCCCATGTTTAATTTTAACAAATTACCTGGCCTAAAGTCATGGTGCCCCTTTCGCAAGGGAGCCTGAGACCAGAGGCAGGTTGGGGGAGGCTCAGGGATGTTGGGACCACTCCTGAAAGAGCTGTCCCTTCCCTCTTAGGAGGACAGCCCAGAATCCATGTGAACCAGCTCTCAGCCAGGCTTTGACAATCTCGCAGCTCCCCACCATTTGGATGTACTAATCACGTGGTTCCACCCTCTACCCCGGGCAGTGTAGCCTCAGCCTGGGCTCTCAGCCCTGGACCAGGCTGCCTAAAGGTACTTCCTGCCTGGCCCCTTCAGTGAAGGATGTACTTCCCAGGCAAGCCCCTGAGAGGCGTCAGAGAGGCAGACAGACCCTCGTTCTTGCTCCATTCCTTCCTGCCCAAGCCAGAACCCAAGACTCAAGTCTTTCTCCCCAACTCCTTTTTCTCTCAAGAAGCAGATGGCCAGGTGCTGGGCAGCCTAAGTGGAGACGTAAGTCTACCCACTGGTCACTGGGTGGGTCTGGATTCGCCTTCCTTTCTTCACCTTATTCCTCTAAGCCCCCCACCAATGTGCCTCAGCCCCCGTGCTGTGTGGCAACAGCATCTTGGGTGGAGGGCTGGTTGTGACTAGGAGCCCTCCTTTGAGTACGAGGCATGGTCTTTGTACTTAAATCTAGATGGGAAGCATCCTTCTCCACAGCCCTCAAATCATATGACCACCCCTGGGAAGTCAAGCTGCCACCAGCCCCAGGGCCTTGGTAGGGGAAGCAAAGCAGACCCATCTGCTTCTCTCTTTGTACATCTTAACTTTCTAGGCTCCTGAGGGCTGCACAGCCCTTGAACATCTCCACAGCCCCGAGGTGACCCACTTGTCATTGAGTTCCCCCAGCAGCTGCCACATGCCAATATGTTCCTGTCCCTGGGGCACGGGTTCTTGCGTGTCCCATTGCTCCTGAGTTGGGTCCTGTTCTGCAGCTCCCCCTCATTCTTCCCTGAAGTCTTGAAGGGAGGGCAGTGGTCCAGGCATGAATTCCACCCAGGGAATTTTAGGTATGCCCTCCTGTCCCAGTGAGCCACCCGCCTGTTTCCATTTATATCAAGATTGTTTGCATACTTTTATAATTAAGAAGAATGTCCAGTGGAAGGATTTTTAAAATTATCTGAATGGATAGCTCAAGTCTCTGCCATTTATAATTTTTGGCTCTAAGTTCCAATTAGAAAATCTTCCCCTTCTGCATCTGAGTCGACTGATGATGTGAGTGTAAACTGCATTTGGTTATTTCTGATGTCTGTGACCACTTGAATGGATATTTTCCCCGTTACATTCTGTTCCTCAATTACAAAAAGGAGTCCCTTTGGTGTATGAATATCTGTGCCTGTAGAGGGTGGGCAGGGTGGGGTGGGGACATGTGTGGCATGCACATGAGTTGAAATTTCACTTTATGCATTTAAAAAAAAAACTGACATGGGGATGTTTCCTATTGGAATAGACACCTCCGGCCCATTATTCTTATAAACCAAAATCTCAAGGGAAAAAAATGTTTTTGTTCTTTCCCATTTCATTGGGTTCAAATAGATTAAAAGGCTGATTTTCAGAAATACTGCTGTGTGTTCTGTCTATTTGATTGTGTTGGGGTAGCCTGGAGGCCAGGTTCACAGACAAAATGGAATTTAATTCTAGAGGATAGAAGTTGGGGGATGTGGAAAATATCTGTGAGGGTGATCAGAAAGTCAAGATCCCTCAGATTCAATCCTCCCTTTCTTGAATCTCTACGCTGTATCCGAGGATTGGGTCCTTAACCTCTTGGTCATCTATTTCCACAGGTGAAAAGGGGAGATTGAATTAAAACTATTTTTACTTCTATCATATAGGGCTATTGTAGAAAGTAAATCTATAATATGTGCAAGTTAATTTTACTAGGTTCATTCAAGTTCATGTATGAAGGGAAATAGTGCATTATAGATTTTCAAAGATACTTTTTGGAATCTCTCAGTATTCCTAAGTAGAATGTCATCTCTTTGAGAGAAAGGTTAACATTTTCCCACAGTTTTGAGCCAGGGCTATGCAGGTGAGAGGTATTTCATAAACTCTTGATTTCCAAGTACCTGGCATTTCTTTTCTTTTTTCTTTTAATATTTATTTATGCTTACAGAACTGGGGCAGTGAGAGGATTCACCAGAGACAGAGTGGGGAACAGAACAGGCAGATTGATGAAGTACACTGCTGGGGGGAGCAGTGGGCAAGACAAGAGAGGTCTGATGCGCTATGTGAGTCACCTCCCTGACCAGGGATCCAACTTGTGCTGAAGCAGCTGCAGCCAGCTTCATGTAGCTGCACTTTAACCCATTGTGCCACCAGAAGCTCAACACAGGCAGGGTGGCACAGAAATGGACTATCCCGGATATGTACCATCCTGCTGTTTGGTCCTTCTAGATCACAGGAACAGCACAAAGATGGGTAAACACCTCAGGGACAAAGTTGGAAGCCGATAAGCCCTCCCCATTATCTCTTTTACATCTTTACCATCCTCTCTGATATTTTAGTTACTATGACCCTCACAACTAGTGCTCAAAAGAAATACGTTTATGGGTAATGACTTGGCATCTTTGACCCATAAAGCTGTGCTTTCATGCTGCAGTGATATGATTTAGTTAATCAATGAAATATGACAGAAAAGTGGAAGAATCTAGAAAAACTAAGTTGCATATTTTACAGGCACCTGATAAAGGTGAGTTATCAGCCATTCCTCCACATTCTATCAAATTAGATGGGGACAAGACAACTGAAAAGATTTGAGAAGTGAGGAGGGTCTTTGGAAATTCTATGTTCACATTGAAAGTATCTGAGGTCTTACGCCATGTTAAAGAAATCAAACATTGGAACTCAGGTTGGTTTATATAAGAGAATGGTTTACAAAAGGAAAATGAACTCTAAATGGAGGGTTCCCATTGAAAAACTTTGCTTCAAAGTCAAAAGACTGGCAAAGGGTTTTTAATTGACATAAAACACGGAAGGTAAGCATATATCATTTTTATTTTGCCCTTAAATCCATTATTTCAGTTATCTAACCAGGTATAGATGAGTGTTTTCCTGTAAGAGGATTGCTAGATGGGGGTGGCAGAATGAACCTTTAGAAGGGTGGGTAAGAAGTTGGGGGTTCAGACAGCCCTTTGGGGGAGATTCTGTAGCTGCAGAAGAGATGAGTGAGTAACTCAAGTTTTGCACCCCATGCTGCCTGGGGTATGTGGATGTTGTAGAGGGGCTGCGAAGCTTTGGAAGAAATTAGATACAGCAACAAAAGAAAGAAAGAAATTAGATATAACAGTGGAACTCGGAAATGGCAGCTGTAGTAGTTGGTATTGCTAGATGTCAGGAATTAGGTTTGATTCCTGCCAGAAATAAAGATCCATTTTCTCACTGTGGGAGGCCCCTGATGTCAGTCCTAATCCCTTCTTAAGAAACCCTTCACTAGCTGCTTGGGCAAATAGATGCATTGGCCCAGGAATGTGGGAGGGGCGTATATGGAGGGGAAAGTTCACCAAGACCCTGTCTCCTTCCGGCAGTTGTCTCCCGTCAGTTCCGTAGTAATGAGGTCATGCATTTTATTCTAACCAAAATTAATTATTTTTATCTTGTAATAAAAGCTGTCAAGGGTTAGGCATTCTCCACATGCCCAGGAAGGAGTGAATGCTCTTTGGGCCTTATCTTTCTTAATCCTGAATAACCCTCCTCTAAGGTGGGTGTTTTACTTCCTTCTTAGGAAGAAGAAAACAGAGATCTAGTCTCTTGTCTCTGTCACATAACTAAGCAAGTGGGTAAAGTTGAAATTCCAAATCAGGTCTGCCTGCCTGTAGGGTTATGAAGAATTGTGTGAGTCTTTCTCTGTCCCCAAGATCATTTTAGAAAAATCAACCCCCCCCCAAAAAAAAAAAAAAAACAGGGAAAGGAAGAAGAGTAGTGAGGGTGCTTTCATTTTTTTGGTCTTCCTGAAGCTTAGTCTGCTGAGGAAAGCCAAGGTGAACATAGGGAATCTTAAACAAACATGACAAAATCCTTAAAACATGATTTTAATTAATTATACAATTAATATATGTTCCTAGTCCCATAGGAGGGAATGCAGAAAAAAAGTAAAAGGCAAGGGAAAATTAAAATTACTCCTAATCTCACAAAGCCATCATTGCTAATATATTTTTTAAGATTTATTTATTTATGCATACAGCACTCGAGTACAGGCCAAAGGTATGGGTGAGGAGGTGAGGGTGAGGAGAGGATTCACCAGAGACAGAGTGGAGAGCAAAACAGGCAGATGTACTGAAATAGACTGCTGAGGGGAGCAACTGGTGGGTCAGGAGAGGTCTGCCACATGTGGGTCACCTCCCTGGTCAGGGATCGAGCTCCTGCTGCAGTGACTGCTATAGCTTCATAGTGCTGTGCTTTAACCCATTGTGCCACCAGGGAGGGCCCTCATTTTAGTGATATCCTTCCATTAAAAAAACAAATAAACAAACAGGACCTTACCATTTATATTATTTTGGTTTTATTAAAAAAAGAGAGACAGGACCTTCCCTGGTGGTGCAGCGGGTTAAAGCACAGCACTAGGAAGCTTAAGCCACTTCTGCATGAGTTCGATCCCCGCCTGCCCCGGAGGTGACCACATGGCACGGCAGACCTCTCCTGACCCGCCTGCTGCTCCCCTCAGCAGTGTACTTAGTCGATCTGCCTGTTCTGCTCCCCACTCTGTCCCTGGTGAATCCTCTCACCCTCCACATCTCTGGCCTGTACCCCAGTTCTGTATGAATAAATAAATAAATCTTTAAAAAAAAAAAAGAGAGACAGTTAAAATAATATTGGTTTAAGATACTATATAGGTTTTAGGTATACAGCATTACAAATCAACATATTACATTCACCACTGAAAGGCTATGTTAATACTTTGTAGCTTGCTTTTTCTCAATGGATTGATCTATTTCCTGATCAGTAGCTATGGGGTCACCTTTGTATGTATTGATTCAGGGTAACAACCACTCGAGTAGTGGTGGATCATGTTCATTTTCTGGTCATTCCACTCACAACCTATTTTCTAACCTTTGAAAGAAACCATTGAGAACATTGTTTACCAAGTTAAGTCATGTTTGGGGTTTTTACGATTTATTTATTTATGCATACAGACTGGGTTACAGGTCAGAGGCATAAGGGTGGTGAGAGGATTCACCAGAGACAGAGTGAGGAGCAGAACAGGCAGACTGATGAAGTACACTGCTGAGGGGAGCAGTGGGTGAAAGACAGGAGAGGTCTGCGAAGCCATGTGGGTCACCTCCCTGGCTGGGGATCAAACTAGTGCTGAAGCAGCTGGCTGAAGCCACAGTGCCACGTTTTAACTCAATGCACCACCAGGGAGGGACCTAAATCGTGTTTGTAAAGCTGCATAATACTTAACAGTAAATGGTGAACCTAATAAGATTAGCCATTATCTGAAAGGTTTGGCGCAGTAAAGAAAAGAGATCCAGGCAAAGTGTCTACAGGCAGGAACTCTATTGAACTCCCCCGCTCCAGGGCAAGGTTCCCTGACCCCTGAGAGTCAAGGTCAGAGAAGGCGTGCTCCTTGGAGGGCAAGAAGAGGGCATTGAAGTTACTTTTTTCAGACAGTTTTGTCAGCTTGGCAGAGTTGGTTCCCAGAACACAAGCAGCAGCAGTGTTACATTCCTCTTTCCTACCTCTGCCTTGCCCAGCCTCGACTTACATTATCATTCATTCATTTAATGAGGTATTTACTTCCTTTGTGCCAGGCATTGTGCTAAGGATTCATCTAATCCTGATACCAAACCAGGGAAGTAAGTACTGTCATTCCCATTTCTCAAATGAGAAAAGGAAGTGACCAAAGGATGAAGGGCTAAATATTTTATCCAAAGCTCTGGAGCCAGGAAGTGGAGAGCCAAAGCCAGAGTAAGGAGTCACAAACTTCTCCACATCACCTTCTGCTTCAGAGACAAAAATATCCCTGGGAGTGTTCCTCTGTGGCAGCTATAGCAGTCTCTTTAAATGCTTCCATATGTGGGCGTGAGGCAAAATAGTAGCCTATTCCAATAAGCCCTTTTAAAGTGACAGCCCCAGGCCATGGTTGAACATGAACACACCTAGATTTTCTTGCTTTGTAAAAAGGCAGTCCTTTGGAGTAATGTCCAGTGGTCACTTCTCTCCAGATCTCTTTGATTTACCCCTATACTGATGGCTCCACGTAGTTACCAAATACACAGATGAGAGCTGGGTTCCAGACCACAACAAAGCTCAAGTGTCACAATAAAAGAGTATCACACACTTTTCTTCATTTCCCAGTGCATATATGTTATGTTTATGCTACTCTATAGTCTAGTAAGTGTGCAGTAGTGTTGTATCTTTTTTTTAAGTACACATCTTAATTGAATGTGACAGACACAAAGTGAATGAATGAATGCATGAATGAATGAACAAACTTAATGGGGGCAGTTGAGGCTGATAAATACTGGAAGGATTGTTTTTAGAACTGTCTGACCGGGACCCTCCCTGGTGGCGCAGCAGGTTAAAACACAGCACTGCCAAGCTGGCCGCAGCCACTTCAGTGTGAGTTCCATCCCCCACGCTGGAGGTGACCCACATGGCGCAGCAGACCTCTCCTGTCTCGCCCACTGCTCCCCTCAGCAGTGTGCTTTGTTGATCTGCCTGTTCTGCTCCCCACTCTGACTGTGGTGAATCCTCTCACCCTCTGAACCTCTGTACTCCAGATATGTATGCATAAATAAATAAATCTTTTAAAAAAAAATAAGAGAATTATCTGACCTTCTGTGTTCAACATCTTCCCCTGGTTGGCCATGAGGTTGAGGATTCTTGGTAAACACTAACATTTAACAATGTCACCACTAAGTGTCAGTGAACACTAAGTAATGGAAGAGAGCAAGGTCATGCCTGAGTATGACAAGACATCTCCACCTAAATTTCATGGTGTTCATCTGTTAAATGAGTAATGTACTCTTCTCTCTGGCATCTGGCACAAAGCAGCCTCTAAACATTGCCATTGGGTGGCACCTGCGCCTTGGGGTGATATTTCCGGAGCCAGAGGCACAGGGCTGGCACGACCTGGTTGGGCTGGGTGCATACTAGGAAGATCCGAGGTGGGTGGGGCCTGGTATCCGTTGGCTAGCGTGGTGGGCAAGACCTGGACAACAGAGGCGGGGTCACAGACCCAGCTAGCTCCTGGTCTCACTGAGTTAACTGGAGAGAGATTTGCTGGCTCTGTACGCCAGCCAGCATGACGCATGCATGTATTTACATCAAACACAAAATGCTTACAGTCTGCATTATCAGGAGTTAATGCAAAGGTCTAAATGTGAGGACTCTGGTGAATGAGAGACTCTGCCTTAGGACTGTCCTCTGCTTTTACCTAGGAATTAATGACTGTCGTTGAGGGCTATTTTCCTGACACTGTCTTGGATCCTCCATATGGATGAACTCATTAGGTCTCATAATAAAATGCCTACTAAGAGCATCCTCGCTTCACAGATAAGAAAACCAAGGCTCAGTGACATGGAGTCATCTCCCTGAGGCCCAACAAAATGAAGAGGGGCACCTGGATCCAGGTCTGATTCTGTAACCCCAGAACTTTCAAGCAGGATTAAAAAAAAAACTTGGGGTGGGGAGTTTTTTGCAAAGTCAGGTAGTTGGTTGGCAACGACCTTCAAACATTGTTTGGTGTGCCTCAAAAAGTGGGAAACCGAGAAAATGAATCGCTTTAAATTCGGATTCCCTCTCCCCAACCTGACACTGCCAGATTCTGTATTTCTGTGATGGAACACGAAAGTCTTCATTTTGAACAAGCCTCTGGTGATTTTGACGAGGTAAAACAGCAGATTACATTTGTAGCATCGATATGTAAAGTCCCCAACAATGTGCAGAGGGCAACGAAGAGTTTGGAGCAGGAAAGAGACTCGGTGTACCTGCTGAAGAATATCAACGCGATTCTATTGCACGCCCTACAAAAGCATGTTACTTCTCCCCAGCGGCTCCAGTTTTTCGGGGTTTCGATGATGTCCCCTGGAGCCACCCACTAAGCTCACAGGGACCCCTTAGAACCAGGCATTGCGATCCCACTCCAAGCCGCAGGGGGCGCCATTTGGCTTCGTGCCGACTGGCCCGAGGCTCGCTGTGCCCGGAGCCTCATTTCCGGCCCTGCGCGCTCACTGCTGGAACTAGCCAGCCGCCGCGTGGGTAAGTTTCGCGCGGATATTTTCTCTGTGATGCCCTCAGCCCAGAGGCCCTTCCCCACGTGCCACGGGACCACCGACCTCCCAGGGATCTCGGCGTGGCCCCCTCTATGTGTTCTTTCCAGCCGGGCGATTGTCCCTCAGTCTGCCTCAGGCCCCAGTGCCCCACTGTGCCACGACCCTACGCCCACCGGTCGGTCCCGCGCCATCCCTCCACCCTCACTTTGCCCATTATCTCTTTCCTCCCGGCCGCCTTCTTCCGAGGGCACTTGCCCCCTTCCATACCTCCTCCCACCCCATGTTACAGTGTTGCGCCGGGATGGGAAGAGTGATCTGGACGGAGAGCTGTTCTAGTACCCCATTAAGCACCCCGTCCCAACCCCACCTCACCTCTCTATGCAGACAGTCGTCATGAAGTTCAACCCCTTCGTGACCTCGGACCGCAGCAAAAACCGCAAACGCCATTTCAATGCCCCCTCGCACGTGCGCAGAAAGATCATGTCATCCCCGCTCTCTAAGGAGCTGCGGCAGAAATACAACGTCCGCTCCATGCCCATCCGCAAGGACGATGAAGTTCAGGTATGTTCCCTCCATTTGCAGTTACCGAGGTTCGGCTTATCCAGCTGTGTGGTGCATGGGCGGGCGATACCTGTGTACAGAACGTGGTGTGGCCTTGCACCTGGGGGTGCCATGGACTCACATGCCTTTACGAGTGTGGCGAAGAATTTGACCCTACAGATGTCTTAGACTGGAAATGAGACCCAGGGTCACCAGAGAATGCTTGTTCCCTGTAATTAAGACCACACAAATTCAGTTCTTTAATAATAGCAATTAAAATATATCATGTTACTTAAGATTTCTGCTTTTTTATTTAATCTCATGGCTGGTAGTTTGTCAGTACTTACTCAGATTGACTTTTACTTTAAAGATTTATTATTTATGCATACAAGAACTGGGGTACAGGCCAGAGGTGTGAGGGGTGAGAAGATTCACCAGAGACCTAGTGGGGAGCAGAACAGACAGATCTACTGAAATACACTACTGAGGGAGCAGCAGGCGGGCCAGGAGAGGTCTGTCCCACCATGTGGGTCACTTCCCTGGTGGGGAATTGAACTTGTACTGCAGTGGCTGCAGATAGCTTCTTGGTACTGAGCTTTAACCCATTTTGCCACCAGAAAAGGCCCAAATTGACTCTTTGGACCAGAGTCTGCAGAGGAAAATACTGAGGTGAAAATAATGTTTTGGTATCGTCCAGTGTAGTGGAGGCAATGAAGGTGAAGAAGCAGCATTAAGTCAGAGGATGAAATTAGAAGAGAGAATGGTCCATGTTAGAAAGTATAAATTTTATCCTATAGGTAAAGGGGAAGGGAGTGGAGGCGAGTGAAATAGGCAGGGACCGTAGTCTGTCCTTGAATCATTATTTATTATCTGTTCTAGATACCAAGAGGTTCATCTTTTAGAACAAGTTTTCCCAACCTCAGGGTCATTACCTTTTGGACAAAATCATTCTTTGTTGTGGGGAGGTCTTCTGTACATTGTAGGAATTTAGCAGCATCTCTGGCCTCTTGCCTCCACTAGATACTATAGCACTTTGCACATTCAAATAAAAATATTACCAGTATTGCCAAATGTCCATGGAGGAAGTGGGTGGTGAAACCCATCCCATCCCCTTTTTCCCCAATTGAGAACCATTATTTTTAGAGAATGAAATGAGCTAAGACTAAGAGATTCCATGTATCTAAGACATTAGGCTTGAGGAAAACATGAAAAGATGTGAGGAATATTTTGAGAAGCAAAAGATTGGAAGCAGGGATACTTTATGCCTAGTTGTGACAGGAATGGAATAGAAAGAATAGTTGAACAGTTTTAGCTACTCTTCTGGATTCTTCCCATTAGACACATCCTAGGATGGGGGAATTGCAAAAGTGCATAAGCAGCTAGTTAGCAAATTAAATGAGGGAAGTGGGCTGATGACAAGAAAATGACAGCTGAAAAGTTCACGTTATTTAATGGAGGTAGTCATGAACCCCCTCAACCCATTGCTACAGTCATCGTCAGATTTTTTTTATTTTTCCAGGAAACTGTGGAAATTGTGGGTTATTTTCCCAGCCTCACATTTTTACTGGTCTATGTATATGGGGGGTCTCCTCAAAAGAATGTCTGCACTTCTGCTTGCCCCCTTCACTTTGGTCTCTCTCTAGTCTGATCACTGTCTCGCCACTTTATAAATATCTATTGTGACTGAGATCAACTCTGTGACTAAACCCAGTGGACATGCCTTGGTCTCGTCCTCCTTGACTTTTTCAGTAGCACTTGCACTGCCTTACTTCTTGACATGATGTCCTTTTTTTGCTTCTGCGATGCTTTAGGCCCAACTTCTACCTTCTCAGGCATCTCTGGGCTATTTCTCTTCTGTCTGATCTCCAAGTGCTGGAGTTCATTGGGACCTGCACCGAGCTTGCCGGCATTGCCTGCCTAGATGACATCTGTCCTGAGAGTTTTCAGTTTCTGCTGTTTGCTCATAAGTCCCTTTTTTACATCCCAGTCCAAGACATTTTTCTGGACAAACACCTTCAGAACCAACTGCCTGCTCAATGGTTTTATATAGATCTCATAAACATCTCAATCTTCTTATCCTAGCGTGCTCTTAAGCCTAAAGCCACCTCTAAAACCTGAGTCATCTAAAATCTGTAATCCCATCTTTAATAACTAAATAAGCAATATTGCTGTTCCCCATTTGCTGTGCCATACTTCTAAATTAACCTTCTTTCTCCCCAACCCCTTTCTTCTAATTTATTAGCAAGTCATTGATCCTCCAAAATAAGTCTTAAATCTGACCACATCCTTACATTTCCATTTTAGTTCCAGGCATCTCCAGCTTCCAGTCTTACCTTTGTCAGGCATTCTCCAAAGATGGGTATTTTTGCAAATCAGATTCTCCTTCAGACCCATCAGTGGTGCTTGATGTGCTAACTGAAAAATCTAAAACCATTGACTACAAGGCCCTGTGTGATCTACTTTTTCCAGTCCTGATCTACTTTGCCAGCCTCATTTCATCCTTGACTTACCACATGCTCTGTAATTCAAACACCATCTTTTTCAGGTTCTCAGTACACCTTCATCTTCTCTTCCTTCGGTACCTACTCAGTGAGAATGCTTCTCTGTCGGAGGCTCTTCGTTTTCTTTATCTAAATTCTCCTTTTCTAGGTCATCTTAAATGTCAGTTCCTCCCTGTCTTGAAATGTTAGAAAAGCCTCCTCAAATCTTTTAAACAATATTATACCATAGCATCCTTTATTTGTTTTTGCATATAAAAACTGGGATGTAATCCAGAGGTACAGGAGGTAAGACATTCACCAGACATGATGTGGGGAGCAGGACAGGCAGATCTACTGAAATATACTGCTGAGGGAAGCAGCAGGCAAGACAGGAGAGGTCTGCTGAATCATGTAGGTCAGCTTTCTGGCCCAGGATCAAATCCAGGGCATAGGGACAGTAGTGCTGAGATTTAACCCCTACGCCACCAGGGAGGGCCCCTTATCCTTTATTTTCCTTTCAAAGTAAGGAAAGAATGAACTCCAGTTTGAGATTTTTTTTTTAAGCTGAGGCATAATTTATGCATAATAAAATGCACAGGTGAGTTTTGGCAGATGTAGAACTGCGTAACCATCATCCTAACTATGCTATAGACCTTTGTTTTTTTGTTTGTTTGTTTTAAGATTTATTTATTTATGCTTACAGAATTAGGTATAGGCTAGAGGTGTGATGGGTGAGAAGATTCACCGAATCAGAGTAGGGAGCAGAACAGGCAGATGTACTAAATACACTGCTGAGGAGAGCAGCGGGCGGGTCAGGAGAGGTCTGCTGCGCCATGTGGGTCAGCTAGCTGTCTGGTGGAGGATCGAACTCGTGCTGCAGTGGCTTCAGAGCGCTTCATAATGTGGTGCTTTAACCCGTTGCGCCACCAGAGAAAGCCCTGTTGTTGTTTTTTTTTTTTTTTTTAAGTTTTATTGTTTAATTTATACATGCAAGAACTGGGATCTAGGACAGATGTGCATGGGATGAGAGGATTCCCAGAGACAGAGTGGGGAGCAGCTCTACTGAAATACACTGCTGACGGAGCAGTGGGGGAGACTGGAGAGGTCTGCTGTGCCATGTGGGCCAGCCTTCTGGCTAGGGATTGAACTCATGCCTCAGTGGCTGGAGATAGCTTAAGCACTGAGACTAACCACTGCACCACCAGGGAGGACCCCTGTCCCACCTGCTTCAAAAAGAAAACAGAAAATAGCACCTAGGACCCTTCAGAACTTCTGATCCTCCACCCTCTGATTTGTTTGCAGTTCTACCCCTTTTCTCATTCTTTCCTGTTAGAATAAAGTGCTATCTCCATTTTATTTAAAGCTAATCCATCTGCTGCTATATACTGTTCTGTTCTTTTCATCTTCATAACTTTTCATTCTTTCATCCTTGTTCTCTCTTACCAGCATTTAAAACATTCATGGTTTTCCCTCTGAAATTAAAATACCTTTTCACATACCTCTCTCACCCTCTTCAGAATCATGCTTCTTGGGGCTCTTCTCATCTCTGTCTTCTCTCCTCTGATGAACTCATCACCTTACTTAAACAGCTTTCTTCCCTGAAGGCGCTCTAGCCAGTGGCCACCTTGTCAGATCTGTTACTGTATCCTTCTTCTAGCTGACCTTGCCATCACATTTGACATTCTTCTCTTGACTGCTGTTTCCCATTCTCTCTGGCCACTTCAGTCTCTTGCAAGCTCTTCCAAAATGTTGGCTTTTGTCAGATTTCTGTATCTTCCCTCTCATCACCAACTCCTTGCACAAAAACCAACTCCCGGGTCTCTGTTGCAGACCCAGTTGTCCTAGCTGTATGTGAAATTCTCCACTAGACTGTTGGCAGGTGCCTCATTTCAATATGTTCTAAAATAAGCTAGTTTCTCTTAAAATCTGTTTTTCCCCCCATATGTCCCATGGTCTGGGAAAGGCAAATCCATCTACCCAGTCACCCATCCAGACCCCGGATGTCATCCATGACTCTTCTCCCTAACCTTTGCAGGCCTGTCAGGTTAGTCTTAGCCCGTCTCCTCACTGATCTAGTGTGTGTCTGCTTCCCCTTGTCTAGACTGTTGCTTTAGATTCATTTCATTTACATCTTCTGGATGATTTACTAACATTTAGTCTAGATGATCATTAAGGGGGCTTTCTCACAGACTCCCCAGTGAGACTCACTGTCTGGACGTGGTGGATGTTCAGTGAGGCATGGCTGTCCTCTTTGCAATCTGAAAGTCACCTTGGGAAGTAGGCAGAACAATGTAGGTTGACATTTTAGGCAAATTAAGTGCCTGTCGTTGTTTCTCTGTGGCACTTCTCTAATCAACACCTCATATGTTGTGGCTTCTGGGTAATAGACTCTTGCCTGTAGGGAAGTCATAATCTAGTTGGACTTTGGAGAGCTGAGTATGAGCAGTTTTTAGTATGAGAAAATAGCCCTTGAGATTTTAACTTGACATTTTCTTTTTTTTCCCCTCTAGCTATAAGGTATAGATGTTAGTTGTAGAAATCTTGAAATTTAGAATTTAAATTTTAGAATAGTTTTCTGTGTAAACACTTGTTTAATGGCTAACATTTGCATATATTTCCTCCCCATTGCTTCTTGTGCCACCCATGTTTATGCAACAAGATTCAGACCGTATTCTAAACACAGCTAGTGTATTCTATTTTCACTCAAAGGGTCATATCTTGATCACTCTCCTGGGTCATGCATTATTTTTTGAAAGCAGATTTTACATGTTTCAGGTATGGTCCCAGTACAATTTCTTTAAACATTCTTCCCTCTTTAGGCCTTGAGAATGGTGATACTTTAGAAATTGTATTTATTGGTTTTTTTGGGGTTTTGTTTTTACTATCAGGAGTAGTTCTGTGGTGACCATCCTACCTAGTTCAAGGAATTTTTTTGTTCATAGAAGAAGAAAATTCAAGTGAAGAATTTCCACCTGATTTAGAATAACACGAAGCAGATTTACAACAACAAATTGGTGATTTCTGACTGCCAGGATTAATGTGCTTTTGTCCAAAAATGTGTGTGTTCTGCTTCTGTGTTCCTGTTTGTCAGCTTCCTCACTGTGACCATATATTAGAAATAGACGTTTTCTTTTGTGTTTTCTCTCAGGTGGTTCGAGGACACTACAAAGGTCAGCAAATTGGCAAGGTGGTACAGGTGTACAGAAAGAAATACGTCATCTACATCGAGAGGGTGCAGCGCGAGAAGGCTAATGGCACAACTGTCCATGTAGGCATCCACCCCAGCAAGGTAAGGCCTGGGCAGAGCTGTGGTGGCAGCTGTGTAGCATAGCGCCTCTGTCAGAGCTACCGACAGGCTGGTGCTGTCAGCAGCCGCCCTGGTAAAGACTTCCAGAGGGAAGTCAGGCAGACTGATGATTCACTGGCTTAGTGAAATCATCAGGGATCCAGTTCTTTTCTTATCTAGTTTATTGTTCTTGGTAAAAGCTCTGTCTTTACACCTGTAGCAAGAGGATTCTGGATTTCTCTTCCCACTAGATAATGTCCAGAGGGAGAAAAGAGATCATCTCTCCTGTGGCCCTCACTCCCTCCTAGTGGAACATGCTGGCTCTCCTTTGTGGTGCTCCTGTATTGTGCATTGTGTCCTCAGGGCTAAGTGGTTATGTTGTATCTTTATGATCTCTGTATGTCTCAGTAGCAGGTGTTTTATACAATGCATTTTGCCAGCAAAAGGAAGATAGACAAAAAAGGAATATGTGAGCCAAGTGATATTTTATATCCCTAATACCACCTCAGACTACCTAATACTCTTCCCAAACTCAGGATGGATGGTAAAATGAACCCAAGCTACAGTGGGTGGTTAAGGGAAACTGTTGTACAAGATAATTGTGGTTTACATCCTTTGCATTTAAAAAAAAATGTTTTCTCATAACAGGTGGTTATCACCAGGCTAAAACTGGACAAAGATCGGAAAAAAATTCTTGAACGCAAAGCCAAATCACGACAAGTTGGAAAAGAAAAAGGCAAATACAAAGAAGAACTTATTGAGAAGATGCAGGAATGAGTATAATGTATTATACAACCCATTTTCACTGTGAATTTTTAGCTGTGATGTTTCTGAAATGTATTGTTTCCTACTTGTTGTTTTATTGACTTGTGGCTCTGGAAGTCTGCTTTTGCTGGTTTAATAAGTTTATGAATAAAAATTGGGATTGTTTCCTGATTCCAAATAGAATTTACATTGATATATAGATAAAATCCACCTTCTCAGTCCTGTTGCTAGTTTCATGTTTAATCTGCAGCAGGACAGCAGGACAAGATTAGGATAGCCTGCTGCTTGAATCCGCACACTGCTGGGGTACAGAACACCCGGCCCCAGTCCCTGACGTAGGGGTTGTCCCGCTCAGCGGCTGTCATGATGTGAACTGGCACACACAAGGTCCACTGAGTGGTGATGAAAATGTATCAAGCTGAGCCCTTTTTGGCTCTTTAGTTATATACGGCTTATCTGATACTTAGGAATGATTTAATAAATATTAATTGAACCAGAGTTATTTCTATTTTAACTCATTAAAGAAAATGAGCTGAGTTTAATTTTCTAAATCCCAGAGAGCCTAAGAGAACCAAGATTTGAACCCAGGCCTGACTACATAAAAGTTAGTCACTTCCCACTTCGATCAGCCATCTCTGGTGATCTTTTCTTCTCAGCTCTTTATTGGTGTCTGTTCAGAGACTGAACCTGTGTGTGGAAGAGAGAATAACTTGAGTTAGCATTAGTGCTGCTGAGGGAGGAAGTCATTGTCACAAACCATCAAGGTCAAGTTTCATTTCTGCCACTGGACAGTCATGAGCCTTTGAGTTACTCATCTCTGAGTTTCCATTTTCTTACTGGTTAAAAATAATACTCACCTGCCTTCCTGTCTCATGGAAAACACATATAAGATACTAAGATCAAAGATCAAATGAGATATTTCTTTTTTTTTTTAAGATTTATTTATTTATTCATACAGAACTGGATTATAGGCCAGAGGTGCAGGGGTGTTGAGAGAATTCACTAAAGACAGTGGGGATCAGAACAGGCAGATGTACTGAAATACACTGCTGAGGGGAGCAGCAGGTGAGACAGGAGAGGTCAGCTGCACGTGTGGATCACCTTTGGGGCCGGGGATTTAAAAGTAGGCAGAATGATGTCTGGCTTTGGTGCAAGATACACCTGGATTAAATGCTTCCCTGGTCCTTGGTTGGTCGTTTCTGTGAACCTTTGTTTTATGTATGTAAGAAGCTAGAAATGTATACCTTCAAAGTTGTCAAAATTAAGTAGTGCTCCACCAGGCTCACCTGATTTTAGGAGTCACATGGGCACTTGCTAATAGTCTCTCCTTGCTTACCTGGAGATCCTGTGATACAGTAGGCCCAAGGAGAGACCTTTTCAGGTCTCATGTTTATATATAGGTCTCACACGAACCTTACGTGATATTTACAACCAGGTAAGTTTGGTAAATTGTGGGGAATGTATCAAATAGGTAAAGGAAATTGGCACAAAGTAGGTGCTCAGCATGTGGCAGTCATGGTATCAGCTTGCTGAGCTGTCAGAGTGTGATAAGAAGTCAACTAGGAAGGTAATTTGTCTTTACTAATTTGAATTTTGTCTTTATTCTCAAATCAACATGTTAAAGTTTTCATATTACCCATATTAAATAGCATACTCAGATGCCTGGTCTAGACCCCAGCTCTTTACCCTCATCAGTAAACTGATAAGTCACTTGTTTTCAGCAACTATGCCCTACAAGTGATAGGTACAAAGCAATAGCTTTCAGAGCTATAACCCTCACGGATATCCAAGTCATAGCAGACTGCTTACACTTAGCCACGTGTCAGGGCATGGTCTAAGAGCAGAAGCTCAGCGTCAAGCCTCCCAGAGCTTTTCTCCTAGCTCCGTCGGGAGCTAGCTCTGTGACCTTGGGCAAACTGCTTAAACTTTCAGACTTCAGATAACTGCTTCTGAATGTCTGTTTCCATATCATTCTTGGGTGTGAGTATGCAGCTCCAGAACTTTTTGATATGAATTAGGTTTTGATATGAGTTTGTCAATGGGAAGACGACCTATCATAGAATTGTGATACTTACTACTTGAGATCCTTTGTGGTAAGCACAAAATGTTCAGCAAATTTCAGCTGTTGTAGAGGAGATTGGGAGTAGGGTTGTTCACAAGAGTAGGCCCTGCTGGTTTGAGCATGTTTCCTGGAATGACTTTGAATTTGTTTCCCACTGACCTTTCCTTAGATGTCCATTCATTTGCGTAAGTCCCCTTGTGCTATTTTGGGACTTTCAAACTTTTAGACTTCAGATAACCGCTTCTGAGTGTCTGTTTCCATATCATCCTTGGGTGTGAATGTGTAGCTCCAGAACTTTGATGTGAGTTGGGTAGGCAAGTAATTGAATCATCTAAGAACCAGACAGAACTCAACTAACCACAAGTCCACTGTACTTGGCTAATGTTAGAGATACTGAGCAGGTCCCATCTAGCAGTGACTTGGGTCTTTGTTCACTGTGCTTTCAAATAACTTTAAAAAGATAAGCAACACTTAACACTTCTATATGAAACAAAATTAAAAGTCCCAAAGGTATAAATGAAAAGTAAATTTCTTAGTCATCTTGATTTAGTCACTTAGTTCTCCCTAGAAATATCCACTATTCCCAATTTTTTTTTTGGTATCCTTCCAGAAATATTCTGGAATAAATGACTGGATGTTTTTTGATCCATGAAGAAGTCTTAATGAGAAAGACAGTTCATCTACAAACAACTATAGAAAGTGGATTATTGCCTGAACACGACAGTTACATGTAAACCTGCACAGAATATTAAATAAAATGTTCTTTCTCTATCAGAAATAACTAAACCAACCACATCCTAACCTCTCCCTTGAGGGAGGACAGTTCTAGAAGAGGCCTTCAAAAGCATTATCTTATTCATTAGATATCCCTTCATCTTTTTGACTTGGGGTTTTTTGTTGTTGTTCACTTGCTATTTAAAATAGAAGAGGCAGGGACTCTCTCTGGTGTGTAGCTGGTTAAAGCACAGCACTAAGAAACTAAAGCCTGTTCAGCATGAGTTCAATCCCTGCACCGGAGGTGACCCACATGGCGGCGTGGCAGGCCTCTCCTGACCTGCCTGCTGCTCCTCTCAGCAGTGCACTTTGTCAGTCAGCCTGTTCTGTTCCCCACTCTGTCTCTGGTGAATCCTCTCACCTCCCCTGCACTTCTGGCCTATACCCCAGTTCTGTATGCATAAATAAATCTTTAAAAAAAAACAGAAGAGGCAGCATGGCAGTGGGAAGAACAGGAACTGTGAATACCAGCATTCAAATCCTACTTCTGTCACCTAAAACATCTACACTTTGGGCAAGTGGCAAGTCTGAGCTTGACTTTTCCTAATATATAAAATTAATATCTGTAGGAGATGTTGTGAACTTTAATGAATTCAAAGCACCTAGCTCAAAAGCTAGCAGGAGGTAGTCACTCAAGAAATGCCAAATGCTGTGATCAGGGGGATCTGGCAGCAATGCCTGTCACATATGTATGTGCTAAGCCAATGAGCAGTAAATCAGGCTGCACCTATCAGTTCTCCAGAAACTCCAAATCAGCTTGAAAAGTATTACAGTGATCTACACGCCACCTCTCTCCAAACTGTTGTCTCCAAGTTTCAGTTACTCTCAGTCAGCTGTGGTCTAAAAGCCACAATGTACAATACTTTGTTTTGAGAGATATATCCTCATAACTTTTAGTATAATCTGTTAGAATTGTTCTATGTTACTATTGGTTGTTAATCTCTTATTGTGCCTAATTTATAAATTCAGGTTTATCATAGGTATGTATGTATGTATAGGAAAAAATAGCATAGCTTGTAGTCCATGTTGTCAGGCATCTCTGAGGGGTCTTGGAGTATATCCATGATAGGTAAGGGAGCTCTGCTGTAGCGATGCCAAGACCTGACTCTGCATACCCGCTTTTATTCACAGAGTGAGACTCAGGAAAGAGGGGCTTCTTAGGGATTGCACTGTTGTATTTCCATCAGCTATGGTTTTCTTTATCCTATTCGGGTGTCCTTTTCCTCTAGGAATGGTTCTCAAACTGTATGGTTTCAAGGACCAAAAGAATTTACATTTGTGTGGGTTTTATCTCATATATCATCTAGCTTATTGGAAATTAGAACAGAACGTTTTAATATATTTATTTTAAATGCATCTAAAATGGCAATAATAAACACAAACATGTTAACAGAAATATCATTTTAAGGGAGATTATCCAAAAGAATGTATCAAGAAGACTGTCTCTGTGTTAACATATTTGCGAAATTCCTTAATGTCTAGCTTAGTAGGAGACAAAGAGATTCTCATAAAGATGTTGTATTCCACCTGTTGCAATGTTGTTTTGTCAGACAAATTGGTGGTTAGAAAAGAGAGCCTTTCTACAAGAGCTTCAATAATTCAGTTGCTGTTTCTTGATCCATGAAAAAAGTCCTAATGACAAAGGCAGTTCGCCCACATTTAAATAAACAGCTACAGAAGACAGACCTGCTGGGAGAGTGAGGGACTCCCCAGCGGCCCTTGCATGGCACTGCCCAGAGTCTGATTTTTTGTTCTGAACTTTCCTAAGGGTGGAGAGTATTTCTTTCAGGACAGTTCCTGGTCTTCCCCCAGCTTTCTTTTGAAACTTATGATAAAATGTTTTTGACAGATTGGCTGATAGAGGGAGCTATTGGCCAATATTTGCCCACAACTGAAATACTGGGATTGGGGATTTTTCTTATTTCTCAGAGAATGAAATGGACAGATTTAGACTTGGTTCGGAATAGACACTCCTGTGTTGCCTGATATCTATTTCCCAAGGAGGCTGCCAAGAAGGTAAGACAAAGACTAGACGGAATGGAGTTAAACTTAAGATATTTGCATTTATTTAAGGAATGGGAAAAAATTCATAATAGTCAAAAAGTGGAAGTGAATGTTCATTCATACATGAATAGAGAAATGTCATGTGGAATACACATACAAAGAAATATTATCCAGTCTTAGGAAATTCTGACATATGCTATAACGGATGAAACTTGAGGACATTTTGCTAAATAAAATAAGCCCTACCCAAAAAGACAAATACTGTGCCATTCCACTTACATAAATTATTTAAAACAGCCACACTTTGAGAATCAGAACCTGTTCTCAAGGAGTTTGCCCATTGATAGAGGGTTGGTTAGGACACACGTGCGATTATAAGGCCATAAGAGGAGCACTAACACAGTGAAATAGATCTGAGGGAATACTTGAACTGGAACTGATGGATGGACATTTCAATCTCTGATAAGGCTGAGGGGAGTATTGGGGAGGAGTAGTGGAGCATTAGGAGAATAACTGGTTTCCTATTGCTGGTCCAGTAAAGGCTTGAGGTCATAATTGAAGAATTAACTCAGTAAAAGATCACTGGTCTAACTTCCCATTTAACCCAGGAAACTGCTCCACTGAATGAAGAAAGAATCAGGAGTTAACTCGCAATAAGGAAACACAGATATTGCAGGGAAATGGTCTATGGTAAGGCACATTATATTTTGTTAATAGACTTGCTGTCCATCTTGTTTTTGCCTGTGAGCTTTATCAAGTTCTTTAACCACTATGAATTGGATTCCTCCTTGATGGCAAGGCTGTCTCACCTGTAATTAACTTATGTGAAACCTTGGCAGTTAGAAAGTCCACATTTATCTTCTTACTATTCTACTCCTCTTTCAAGTCTCAGCTCAGGGCTGGCTGGAATGGAAGTGGTAATGATTGTCCACACTACCTTTACCCTGCAGAGTGACCTCATCTCCCTGTGAACTCTCAGAAAAGGGATCTAATTGGTTTCTGTAATCCCAGAACCTGGCCCAAATAACAAGCTACACAGTAGTGCCATAGTTAAGAGCACAGGCCTTGAA